AATAAAACATGAAAGGCGCTAATAGTTCGGTTAAACAGCAAGTCCGGGCAAAGAATCTATTTAACGTTTTCGTGTATCATAACTAGTTAATTCAGCGACAACACGTTTATACGCATTAGTTCGGTTTGCCGTTGTGATAATTAAATATTCATAACTGCGATATTATACAACGATTACAATGCGTTTATAAACATTGTCGTTGTTGTTTTTGGGCTGCGGGGGTTTTGTGTAAGGTGCAAAGTACGTGTACGCGAGTCGAGCACGCAAAATTACCATGTACTTGTACGGATCACTTATTTTTTAACGCATTCGTTTTTGGGCGCCCTCAAGCTCGCGTGCATTTATTTTGGTTAGCACCTCGTTTCGAAATTCGACGTGTACAACTTCTGAAACGAGCAAAACATTCGAATCGATTGGACGCTTATCTGAGACGATGACACGTCCAAGCCAATATCGTGAGAATGCATTGCAGAGTACGTCGAATCTGTGTGAAATTATACTGTATTAACACGCCTCGATTTAACGTAATGCTAAAAATGTATCCCAGTAAATTACAATTGGAATATTCTGACGGTGAAGATATCGCGAGTCCGTAAGATTCCGATTTATTAGTAATAGTTTTATTAAAAAAATGAAGAACGGGGTATTCCGCAGTGTTAAGGTGGATTACTAAATGCCATTTAGACCGTTCACGAGAGTATACGACATAATAATAACTTACGATGCGATTTTCAAGTAAACCGCACTGAAAAAGAAATATAGCCAAGTGCGAGTACGAGCGATATATTTCTTTGTTAATAAAATTATCGCTGCAGAACGTTTCCGGAGTTATCTTCATGGCGCCATTCTCGGCAAGTGTATTATAAATATATTTAATAACGAATGCAACCGTACAATCTCAATGCGATCATAAAATGTTCCTTATCGTCTTGCGAAAAAGGGTATTCCAAGGGGAAAAAAATCACCGAAAATTATACTTCAGCCATACCATGAAAGTGTACCGGCATAAAGTGAGAATAAATTATTTTTGGGATGTGAACTACTACTACTACTACTACTACTACTATGGCCGACTCATTTTCAGCTTCGCACACACCTTAGCGCACAGATTCTTCCTCGACTCCGTTCCATATTTTCAGTAGCATCCCACACTGAAATGATCATTTCGTCATAGCGCGTTACTTATTAATATACAAGTTTGAATGAATAAAAAACTCGCGTGTTCGATTTGAAATCGTTTCACAGATTGAACGTACTTCAAAAGTTGATCATTATTAGTCAAACGTATGGAGATTTAGATGTTGCGTCATTAAATTGTATTCTCTGTGGTAAGCATTTAATACATAATACATAATTAGGTGTCAAATGTACGATGCAAATTATGTGTGCGCTATGAATATTTATGTTCTTTTTTACATATAAATTGCTAATTTACGCATACGTATCCAATGAAAATTGCTAGTATTTTTTTTTAAAAAAGTGTTATTCATATAATTTTTTTTAGCCCAACCCAACCAACATGATTTTGATACAAATATACAATTCACGCGAGAGTAAAATCCTTTATTTTTGAGTTATTAAAAATGTTATTGAAACAATAATATTATTTAGATATTGCAAAAGCCTACAAAAAAATGGTAACCGTCTTTAAATTTTTACATGTTTTACATAGTTAAAAGAAAATTCTAAAAAAAAAATTTTAATATATTTTTTATTTTTATTTATAAAAAAATCGATACTAAAACTAAAAATGAAATAATATCACAAACGTTTGTCTCATCCAAAATGTTTCGTATCAACATAAGCTGCTTTTAATTCTCGAAAAAAAAAATTAAAATTAATTATAAATAGATTGTGCTTACAAACGATCAATTTTTGTTGTTGTTTTATTCGATATCTAAATAAATCTTTCGGACTAGAAAGTTGCGAGTTTTGTAAATGTGAGAATAGTCGTTTGCTTATCAACTTACTTGAATCCATACGACTCGATATACAATCTAAATATCCACATAGAAAACTAAAAATGTGTTAAAAAATATGTTTGCATTTTCCTCTCGAAGAGACATTCAAAGATATATAGATATACGTAAAAATCAGAGACAATTACTATTTTTTTTCGTAGGTTATATTCGTGTAAAAACGGAACATATTTCATTTTTCCACCCACGTGTATCACAACTTTTGAAACGTTTGCATACATGTACCTATTTTGCATACATAGTGCGCCTTCAATTATATCCCGTGCGTAACTAAACAAATGCAAATTATTTTCTACGAATAAATCGATCTAGCTGTAACATAAACATATTTAAAAGTATATAATAATAATACTTCTAACGACAATGTATTGTTAAGTGCAAATGTTATTCGATTGGATGTTTTTCGCAAACACATTATAGATCAATGGGTTTTATTCTAATGAAATTCAATCGAACAAAAATAGCCTCCAAACAACAAATGGTTATTATATTATCATTTGAATTCCATAAACTCCCAAAAAGGAAGTGTTCAATTCCAACTTAAAGTAAATGGTTTAACCCGTTCTTCTGTAAGAGGGATAATATTAATTCCATTTGCAAAATATAAAAAAGGGTAGACAATAGTTGGCGGTACATGAAATTTGAAAATAAATTATTATTCTAGCGAGTGATTTGAAAAATATTATTTCATGTAAATTATTATTCACTTCGATACAATGGCGTGATAACTAATTAGTCATTATTTATCTTTTAATAAATGTTTATGTCGTCGAATACGAATGGTAGTCGTTCGGTAGGATCATATGTTTACTTAGCCGTTTAATAAAAAGACATTTTGTTCAAAATGTTTTAAATATGCCTACTATACTGCGCACGCTTTATATTGTCTAAAATACATTATACAAAGTTCTAAGATTATCAATATGAAGTAATTATAAATCAACCGCATATCTGTATACAGCTGATGTTAATGCCAAGCGAATTTAACTTGCGGATACAATATATTCATTTTAATAATAATACACGCATTTATTTAAAACGTTTCATTAGAATAAACTATAGTAAAAAAACATTGGAGATATTGAAACATTCATTTTTCATACCTATCAGCATTTTCCCATCAGGTTTGATTTTAAATAATTTATTAGTGTTAAAGAGCGGTCGCTGTAATAAACCTTTTTGAACACTGAACCGTGGATCGTATGCAAATGACTTTTAATGGACCACTTGAGTAGTGCTTACCATCACAGCGAAATTCATCTTTTAACGTTGCTGTTATTTCGTAATAGTATCGTTTTATGCTATTTAAATTCTATCGCTTAACGATGTATGTGTACACTGTTTTATTGGCTTTACTGTAATATAATTCGTATTGTAACGTAATCGGTGGCTACAAAATATTTCCAGAAAAATGAACGGAATCTGACCCCCGAGAATTGGGCCAGTTCAGAGCAATAATTAGAAATATTGCTGTACTATCGACCTAAAATTCCAACTGCAGTTCTTACTAGAGCCATACCACTTAAATTATCATTAACTAACTTTATCATTTCATGTTTTTCTTTATCCTTTGTTTCATAAAACTTGGATAAAAATTATTTACTTTTAATCAAAAAGAAATGTATATTTTATTTCAACAAACAATAAAGAAAAATTAAATTATATTTTAAGAAAATTAATCTGTAATTGCTGATATTCGCATAAAATTATACATCGTTTGATTGTTGTCTATTTAGTAAATTAAAGCTCTATCGTTTGATCTATAATAATTAAAAATTCTCAAACACTGAACTGCCACTGAAAAATTATTGATTTTAGAGAATCCGATGTTGTGTTTAAATTCCCCGGATATTTAAATAAAAAACACTGAACAGCTATAGGCCAGGTCTTAAGTGTGAATCCCATCCGTCCTTGTATAATTCACGCCTTTATGTAATATATTATTCCACTCAAGCAAACAATAGCCTTGTAGAGGTGCTTTTATTGGATAGTGATCGAAGTGGGGTATTGATACGAACGTATTGTTTCGAAATGTTATTGAAAATATTGCTGACAGTGTATTGAGGCTCACAATTTTTTTTTTCAACGTACCAATAGAAAATAACAGCCCAAATGATATCCTTTATAATTTGAACCTTTCAATTAAAGCTAAACCAACATATTATTTATCACTAATAAATAACATTAAATATGTTTTGAATGTAGTATAAGAGGGCCATAATTATTAACAGAGAGAAAGTGAAATGAAATTATAACTGGATGAAAAGTAATAAACGTTGACAGTTAAGTCTGAGATACCATGTATATTTTCAGGTGAAATTAAATAACTTCTGAAATAAAAGTTCAGATAATGTTATCGACAAATCTGTTATTTAACTATATGTTTTTCTAAAGTTTATATAAATTAATCGAACACTTTAAATAAATAATGTAACGTGCGTAATTAAAGTGTTTTAAAATATTTTAATGGAAAATTTGACGACGAATTTTTTGTCAATTTTTGATATGTACAGGATCTATGCATATTAACAGAGCAAAATTATTTTAAAATTTTTGTAATTATTTAGTAAAGAAATTAACACTGAAGGAAGACGAGAAAGAGGAAGATCGAAAAGAGTAGTTGGATATAATTGAGGTTGATATGAGTACTTCTGGTGGGCGTATAGACGATGTGGGAGATAGTGTTAGAATCGATGATGGTTTATAAAAATTTTTTGGATCAGTAATTTGGAAGATGTTAACACTTTTTAGTTGTACACTGGAGTATGAGGTATGGGTTACAATTATTTTTATCATACACCGTTGCGTATTTACGGTGAGAAAATAAAAAATAAAGACAAGAAGGTACTGTTTGTAGTTATAGATAATATTGCATTTATATTTTATTGAATAAATTGATTTCTTTAAGAAATCGTAAGGTTTTTATTAGTTCTCTTCGTACAAGCACTAGTTATTTTCACAAGTTTTAAAATAATAAATTGTGTTTTATAGATGCATGTTGATAAAAAAATTATTTTTCAGGTATCTGGCGGCCACTCAACGAAGAGTTGCTTCGTTATAAAGGTTAAAAGGGTGAAAATTATGTACAGATCCAACCACTGAATGCCTCACTTTAACGGTATTGGTAGAAAAGCCAGTGATGACCATGTCGTGAAAAGTCAGTGGTTCGTGCCGGTGGAGGCGGTAGTCCGGCCGGCAGCGGCCGTGACGGCCGCTTCTTCACCTTATTCTGTTAGTATTTGGTTACTTTTAGCACGATACTGGCTCTCTCTAATCATAAAAAACTCGCCAAGAAATAGAAAACAATCCTAGTTTAGCGGAACCGTACCTTAAGGTTGTCACTATCATTCCTGGATTTCAATAACACTCAAAATAAACTGTTGCCAACGGACCTCAACTGCTCCTTGTCCGCGTAACGACGGCCGCGCGCCGGACCCAATGAACGAGTCCGAGTGTCAAACGTTGCGAGATTCGCTGGTGTGGAGAGACCCGCACGTGTTGGGAGCCCTTGCTGGCTTTTCGTTCATAGCCCTCATAGTTACCATCGGTAATACGTTAGTTGTAGCCGCCGTATTCAACAGCTCCAAGTTGCGGTCACCCACCAACACGTTTATAGTATCACTGGCAGTATCTGATCTTATGGTCGGCGTCACTGTACTTCCATTTAGCGCAACGTGGGAGGTATTTAAGGTAAGCAAATCGTTTAATTACACTGAACAACAGTAATAAATGTAATCATTTACATTTAGTGTATCACAGTACACCCGGTTAACTTATTATTAGGTTCACTCTGCACGCGTTTCTTATAAGAATCTATTAAAATCTACAAAAGCTATAAGTGAACGCTAACTATGTAAATAAATAGAATGTTAACTTTGCGAGATTAGTATTTGATTGGGATATTGAAAAGAAATACAACCAATTACATTAAGCTGGATATATTAAGTCAATTAAATTGAAAAATTTGAATTAAGACTATCAAAAGAGAAAAGCCAAAAATATCTAAATGATCTTTTTATCCCAAATTTCGTTGAATATCGCTAATAAAAGCCGTCTTCGTAGTTAATCTGGAAACTAATCTGAAATGAAACTTAATTTTCTTTAAATAGATTTAAAGACTTATAAATATATCCAATCATTATTGTCTTTTACAATCTCTTAATTAATCAATTAATAGAATGTAGTGTTGACAGTTCTTTTCTTTTACACATTGTTTAATTAATAGTATAACTTTTGATACCATTATAATTTTGTTCCCATTTTCCTTTTGAATAATTATTGATTCCTTAGACTAGATACAGTGGGTATGGAATGCGGTCAGAGTATACGCTGTAACATATTCTTTATGGTCTTGTATTATCAATTATTAATTTAGATACTAAACATAAAAATAATAAACAACTTTTGATTAAAAAGACAAAACAACAAATTACATGTTATTATTTTAGTTAATATCGTACAAATAACTAGATTTTAAATCAGATGTAATAGTAATTGATTTCATAGACATGACATTAATTAATTATTTAATGTATTATTTTTGATATATACTTTTCTTATGACGATTTGTGAATACCTCGTGGGACATTAATATAATTCTGAATTAACTTGATCACCGTTTGCGTAAAACTTTATTACGCTTTTGGATTGTACTTGAACATAAATAAATAATTTTTTTTTTATTCGCTTCATATGATATACTCGATTTGTTACAATAGTCAATTTTATTAAATTTTTAATAGAATTTTAAATTTCTAAAAATATCATTAGCCGATAATAACGTACAGTGTAAACAAATTTATATTTGGATTACACGTATATAATCCATTTATTTTTAGTATTTGTTGAAAAATAAGATTACCGTGGAAAAAAATAGTTAGTATTTTTTTCATTAAGTCATTTTAAAGTCATGAAAAGCCCTCAGTATTTTGTAAAAGGTTGTTACAATCAAAATTACATCTTATTTACAAAATCGCTAGCAGGCACAATTAGCTTTATTAGAATTGCGTTGTGACTTGACTACTACCATATCACTTTATCCTCTTGTACTCTCGTGTCTATGCACCACAGTCTGTCTTTAATTTGTAACTCGCCATCCATTATATAAAAAACATGATTCGTTATAAAAAAAAATAACACAAGGAGTGTTTTATTTTTTTTCTTCCCTTCTTTTTTATATGCATCGAGTAGGCCAATTTAGCCGACCTAATATAAACCGTAAGTCGCAATTCACGTAATAACGGCTTTCGTGCTGCGTTTCATTTTTTATTCTCCGCCTGTTTTTTATCCTTTAAATATATCTACTGTAACATCATGAGTCGCGAGCTTTTGAATACATAGTTAAATCACAATCTGCGTACATTTTTTACATAGAACTTCTCGTTGTGGCAAGTTATTAATTTTATACGAGTGCATTCACTGACTAATTTTTTGTAACGGTCATACGCCATTTAAAAACAACATGACGCATTTACAATATTTTTCAGAAAAACAATTACCAAAATAAATAACTTCCAACACAAAAATAATTAGTTTACAATTATTCAAACACATATTCAACATCAAAAAATTCCTAATCTCATATTAACATAAGTTCTAATGTAAATGTGGATTGACACGCTAAATATGAACTGTATAACGGGAAAGAGACTGTGACAAGTCCAAAGTATAAATATCCTTGAAAGACTATTCATTAAATTTTCGAATCGGACACCATCATATTACTTATAAGTGTAGTTTCCAAATGACGTCTCTAAGATAATATTTGCTTCGATGGCTTCCGTTTTTTCGCGAAATATATTTATAAAATAGTTTGCATCCGAAACAAAATCTCAGGATTCTCAGTTAAATAAATAAACAGATTCATTCACTGAAATAATAATCCAACTAAAAATTATTTACATTTGCATTTTCATAAACATCACAAATACATGATTCAGTGTTCTATTTTTATGTTTTGTATCAGTTTAAAAATAATCGATTCTGAAAATTTACTGTAGTTGAAAATAAATTGAAAATCATCTCTAAGTAAATCAAAAATGAAACATACACTTGTTCATTGTTACGTATGTCATAATATTGAAAATAAACAAAATGAAAAATCGACATCAGCATTTATTTTTTATTATTCTACATATAAATTATATGATATATTTTTATTTTTATTATGTGTATTTAAGATTAGCATTTGACTTCTAATAAGATTTTTTAGTGTTTCCCTATCACTTTGAGGCTATTTCTTTCGGTAATTTTGTACTGTCTAATTATTAAATGAATTTATTGAATTTTGATCAAAATTAAAAAACTTAAAGTATCTACCTGAAATAAAAACATTTTTGTTCTTCGTCTTTAGTGAATTTGTTATTATATTCCTCCATTAACTTAAATACCCTCTCTGCTGTGTCATTGACTATTTTAAATGACTTTATTATCTCCTTTCCTGTTTTATATTCCTCCTAAAATTTCCAGTTACCTGGATCAACGTTTAAAAAAATTGTTGAAATTCCAAACCGCTTTAACATTTCAATTTATTTAAAATTGATCAAAGAAGTTGGTAAGACTTTTTTTTCGGGGGCATCATTAAATGTAATTGATAATTTTTCTTTTTAGATCAGTTTTTCCCTCATCATCATTTTTGTTATGATTACCAGTGCTTAAAATGTTTTCAGCCATTTTGTGTTTTGTATTATAATCTATACGGTCATGAAACAAGGAAAAAGTAATACATTATGAATTTAAATACCATAAATGGTTTATTATTTTTTTAAAGGCTCGTCTACGATTTTCTTATTTTGTGATTTATAGGCTTTTAATTATCTAAGAATTATTATATCGTTGAGGAGAGCGTCTATTGCGTTGGTAGAAAAAAACCATGCTTGGATGTAACATTTGACTATAAAACAACAAATATATTTCAAGGATGTTTCTTTTCTGTTATTTAGTTAAAAAAATGTTTAAACAATAGATTCCTTTGCTTTTCATCTGGCTGAATATTATGGATCAGATTGTCAAAAATTAGTTCCCCTTGGAGGAATACCACCCAAAAATAAAATTACAAGTTCAAAAAATTCTTGATAATTATCACAAGTAGATCTTTAGTAATTTTATTTTTTGTACATAAAATAATTTCATCTGCTTTATCTTTAAAATATTATGAACACGAGTATCAGAAACTGACGCAGAAAATTGTGTTTTATCAATTTTTCCCCATCTCTGTTAAAAACTTTTGAACAATAATATTTTTGGTCCGGTTGAAGGATATAATTCAATTTATGAAAAAACACGTTAATAATATGGTATCAGTATGCTAAGAATAATATTGCTCTTCCAAAACGTTGTTCCAACAAAACACATGCTCCATTAAACCTTCCCGTATTAGAGGCCGTAGTATCAAACGTAAAATCTTGTACTTTTTCTAATAGTGACCATTTGAGCAAAGCATCAAAGACAACTGATGATACTTCTAAACCTGTCTCTGTGGGTATATGAGAAATTCTAAGAAGCAGTTCAATATTTAAAGCCGTTGAAATAATAGAAAGATGATCTAAAATTTTTTTTCCTGTAATGGTAGGAAGTATTTTTGTATCCCAATGAATCACAACAAAATTCAAATTTTGCTCCTGAAATTTATAATTAATATTTTTTGTAATTTTTTATCGATAACTTTCACGAGACTTTTTAATTAATGATCGGTTTAAATCATATATACAGGGATCTAATATAAAGCATCCAAACACGCAATAAGTAAATGAACAGTATCCTTATCACTTACTTTGCACCCATCAAGTCTGGCAGACAATCTAGATGGTAAAATTTTTTTCTGTGTCTTTTACTTATTAATGGATCAGGCTCTGGTGAAAAATGTCTTTCTTCTTTATTAACCATCTCGATATCTTCAGAAGATAAATTGGATAAAAAATTTGATTGTTTTTCTAGATTAAATTATAAATAAGTGTTAAATTGAATGCATTAGCACGAGAAATATCAAATAAATCTTCCATTTGGTCTATAAAATTTTGTTCCTTTTTTCTATACAATAAGAATATTTTTGTTTTAATTAATTACCTTCTAATAAAGTTGCCGAGTGAGGTATAGGTTTTTTTCTCGTTATTTATTTGTTTTCTCTTTTCTAATTGTTAGTGTTCTAAATTCATATCTACTACTATCAAACAACCGAGACGGCCCTTAGTTCGTTTAAGTCGTAAAAAAATCAATATCCTCCTGAATTTTCGTTAAATTGAATGCATTAGCACGAGAAATATCAAATAAATCTTCCATTTGGTCTATAAAATTTTGTTCCTTTTTTCTATATAAGTCACTAGTCCTTGTTTTATTTTTATCTAAATTTCTTAGTTCGTCGTATAATTTTTAGCTTCGATGCGAAGCTGAGAAGGTATTGGTTTTACTATGATGTGTTTTTTTTTTTTTTTTTGTGTCTGTTCCCACTTTTTCTCAGCTCTCACCGAACGGATTTCTTTCAACGATACGTCAAAAGATCACAAATCGTATCTAGTCGAAGACATTACCCTTCAAAATTGAAAAAATTTCCCTCGTTCCCCGTAAATGGGGGAAACCTTCAAAAAAATTACAAATTTAAAAATCGCAAATTTTCGAAATTTTTTCAATTTTTTTTACTAAAAACTTTTTCAAAAATGAACATATCAATATAATTTTTTTTTATATAGATGCTT